CCCACTACTGTTTGATTAACTCTATTATATCATTAATAGAGTTTGCTGTGTTAGATTAATAAAAGCCAAAAGTTTACATAACATTTTATGTAAGGAAATAATAAATATATAAAAATTATATTATTTTTAAATATTTACTATTGTATTATTTTAAATATATACTTTTGTCTAAGTTTTGTGCATGTTTTTTATTTTTATCAATAATGCATAGTTTCCTGTATTAAATGACAAATTTTTATTTATATAATTCTTATTAATGACAGCCTTTAAATATTGTTCCTTTTATATTTGTTTGATATAAAAGGCTATTTTAATTAATAAAGAAGAATAAAATTATAGCTTTCCTCTTAAATTATGTTAAGTAAATAATGAGAATAAAGTTGCTCAACTAAAAAATGGGAGCATTGTCATGTATATGAACAATAAAAATTATAGTTTTACCCCTATTTAAACAGTGTTAAAAATTAATAAAAATATTTTTTTATGTCATGTGACATGTTCATTTCACTAATCTGATATGACAAAGTCTATTATGTTGTTAACAGAGTTTTTTCATATCTCTTCTTTTATGAGTCTTTGAAAACTAAAATTAAAGATTGAAAGAGTTAATTTTAAGTGTTTAAAAGTGATGGTATCATATGTAACTATCTCAAATTTTAAGAAATTTTATGTATTTTAGCTAATAATTATGATAAAGGTTTTTCCTTCTCGTTACTTTATAAATAGAATTGGATGAAGTTTACCTTCTTTTAATGTTATGAAACACTTTTATTTAATTGAATTACATCTCCAATAATTATTTCTAAAATTATAATTTTTTTATATTTATTCTTATTTAATATGAAATCTCAATTAAAATATTATTAATTATATTTTATAATGAAAAATTTTTTATAAAAAAATTATTAATTATACTTAATATTTAAGTCGATATCCAAAAAAAAAAATCCCATAAGATTGAAGGAATGAATTTTATCGGTTCTGAGTCAATTGCCCTCTCCTCCGTGTAATGCACGCAACAATTCTTGATTTCCTTACTGTTGAAGTTGATTAAGAGGCATCCATACGATCAGCTTTTGACGGAAACAGAAAAGCTTCTATCTGGGCCCATTTTTCTCGGGTACAAAGATACTCTTCTACTCCTCCCAGGCCCACAAATTCAAATAGAAAAGGGCTTTCTATGGCGTGTGGGTATTGCAAGCATATTCTTTTTCCTGCCTCCATAGAAAAGACCTTATTTTGGGTCTTCCGAAGCGGAGAACTCGTCTTCAATCACCTATATCTGTTCATGAAAAGCCAAGAGTTAAGTAATTTGTATAAAAATTACAGGATGATTTGCTTTCATATTTTCAATATTTTAGAATTTTTTATGTACCAAATAAACCTATAAGTTTCAACTTGCACGGGATCCTCAGGAAAGTGGTTGTGGTGACTATTTATAGAGGTCGCTCTGGCAACCACAGAGAAGCAGTAAGAAATAAATGGAAATGATAGACGGAAAGAATTAATTTGCCGTTGATGTGTATAATGATAAAGCTGGAACCCAAAACTGTGGATCGGAAAGAGTAGTTTAATTGTTTAAGCAAACCGGGGGAGATGCGAACCAAAGGTGGGTGGGTGAGAGCATGCATAAAAATGATAAGGGCGACAAAATTGAAAAGGACCTGAGGTCTTCGAGAGAAACAACAAATCCGCCAGCATGGGATGCTGCCATTTTTGCCTCTTTAGTCTCGTGAGTAAGCAATCCAACACACGAATAATTAGTCCTCAATTTGACTGCTTCTGCTTCACTTCTGTTGATCCCACGCTGTCACGCCTGTCGCCTCCTCCTCCCACTCCCTTACTTGCACTCATATTATGAGACAATCAATCGGCCTTTCTAACGCCATAACTCATACGTCCCTCTCAATTCCCTTCCCTTATGGCACCCCGAAGGTCAATATTTGAACCAGCTTCTCAGAGTAACTGTGCAGAGCCCGTCCCTGGCCCATGGGGACATTGTCACTTTACCAACAATCGACCTGCTGGTCTTGCATAGAAGGTGAACTAAAAGGCACAGACAATGTCATCAATCACTTCTGTATCTCTAATTTTTTTTTTCGGATGTGCATGAAAAGAATAATGATGATATTCAACATCCCCTTTCCAGAATTGGTGGTGGCTTGGTTGGTTGTGCTATATGTATTTGGGGAGAGATTTAACGTGTTCTACCTTGGGTTATTAACGACAAAAACTTTTAATTAATTTGCACTAAAGATTCTTTTTCTTTCTGGAGGTTCATGGCCGCTCTTCAACTATTTTTAACGCATAGCTAGCCCTGACTGCAAAAGAAACAAAATGCCACTTTCGGTCCTTTGGGCTTGTGAACGGCCTCCATAAAATATTCAATTTTCACCGCACGGATTTTATTCTTCCATGCCGGTGGACCCATAAGAAAGTATGAACAAATATCACGCATCCATACCACGCCACTGGCTAGTTCTCTTTCTCCTTAATTCTCAATGGGAGTTGTCAGCATCAATTTCAGCACTTGTTAGCAACAGAGCTAGCTCTAGCAGCTAATGAAATACAGTAGTATGCGTATGTCATAATATCGAGGCCGAGATCGGACACTCGTGAAGAAAAGAAGGGGAAATAGGGGAGCAAGGGGTATGAGAGTGGAGTAGTCGAGGAGGGAGCGTGAAGAGTGGGAGGATGCAGAGGTAAAAGAAGACAAAAGGGAAGGGCATCCCCAGACAGACAATAATAATTAAAAAAAAAATTGCTGCTCTGTTGGATGCAAGTCCACGTGTTTTGCGGCATGGATGAACTTGGTCCTCGGGGACCTGCTAATTTCAGTTCAGTTGGGTCTTGTTCCCAGTGCAATCTTGATCCAAACATGATGGCGAGTGGGTGAGCTTGATCTTGGTCAACTGAATATCCTCAGAAGCTAATTAAGTGCTGAGTGTAGCCCAAACGAAAGCACACCCTCTTTCAAAGGCTTGCATGTGGGGAGGGAGCACTGCACAGTGAGAACTTAACATTGAGAGCGTGTGGTTGCCTATAGCTAAGGCAAACGTGACTTGGGGCAGCGTCCAGCATATATATTAGCCGATCGAAACACACCTTCATTCAACCTCAACATTATTGTGAGGGTGACATGTTTTACCTTCTCAACTAGCTGTAGTCTGTGAACTGTGATCAAGCGCATTTTGGATAGACAAGCCACAAACCGTATTCCCTGTTTATTACTTTTAAAGATGAAAGCTTATATTTATATATATACATGTGATTATATAAAGAATATTTGTGCCTGCCTGCGATTGGGAGGTGATTTTTGGCACCGTTTGGAAAAACATCTTACATTCCAAAAGTATTTTTTTACTTTTGGGATATGAAATGTTGTTTGAGAGAAATTTTTCATAGGAAAAACACTTTCTCAAAGTACATCTGAAACATAGCTGAACGTGAATTTTCTAACTCTCCATTTGATTACTTTTCAAACATGAATGTGATGATTTGAGCATTAATATCTGGCACTTAATTTTATATTGACCATAATACCCTCTATTATTTTTGTCATTCTTGTCGTGAGTGAGAGCTTGTGTTCTGTCACTCCCATCTCTTATGGCCGAGAGCTATCCCATCTCTCATCTTGTGTTACTATCTCTCCACCCATCTCGAAGCTACTCCCCAAAGGCAGCATCTCCATTATCTCGCCCAATTCCTCCGGAGTGGACGAGTCGCCAAAGGAGGAAGAGGACATTGCTAATAATGACAACAAAGAGGAAGATAAGAGCAACTTCGTTGGAGGATTGAATATCTTCATGGCAACGACCTTAACTATGGCATCCTAAACATCTCTGGGAGAGTTGGAAGTAGGTCAGGGCAGGGAACCCATGAGTTCAAGAAAGTTAATGGAAGGATAGCCTTTGATAATAAGCGAAGCCACATTGTGGGCACACGCTGCCATCTCTAGCGTGACAAAGGTGCTGAGCCAAATCTAGTTCTCTTTCTTGGGCTTTCGAATTTCTGACACCCACTTGCCCCACGCCCTCATTTGAGCCCCTCTGTACATGGGATGCTTGCTGTTGCTATTATCCTAGCCCCTCTTGAGCTTCCTCTGTTGTGTTGGCAATGGATTAGAAGCAGAGTTCAACCATGATTGAGACTCGAACAGTCCAAATGTTGATGGCGAGGATGACATGATAATGGAGAGTGTGAGGACTAGTGTGAATGCTTATCTCTATCTCCGAGCTAGGTAGCTCAACCATTAATATTGACAAGGACAAAGCGACTGAAGTAAGCTATGGTTCAGCTCAACGATACAAATTCATTTTTACTCCCTCTATCTTGACTATTTATTACATATTTTTTAATATTAAATTATATATATATATATTTATTATTTAACGTTTTAAATTTTATTTTATTTTAAATTTATTTCATATTTTTAAATATTTCTAATATATTATATTTATATAATAAAAATTATAAATTATCATAAATCAATATTCTTTTTCATCATTCTATATTTAGAAGCATATTTTAAAAACATAAATTTTTATTAATTCAAACAACTTTTGGTTTGTTAAACTGACTTTTAAAAAACATATTCAAGCATAATTTTTGTTACAACAACTGACTTTCACCAAATTAACTTTTATCAAATAAATTTTTATCAAACTGATTTTTGATAAATTAAAAACCAAACACACTTTATCTCTTGCATTGGAAAAGAAGAGCTCTTTCTAATGGGCTTGGGCTTTAGTTTATAATATTCTTCTACAATCTCACCTTCTAAAATTTCTTTTTTCATTATTAATTCAAATTCTGATGTTATTTTTCATGCTTGTTAAAAATTGTTAAAAAAAATAACAATAAATTTATTAAAAAAAATGGTCATGGATTTAATTTACTGGACCCTCGGGGGTGACGAGCCGTATATTGATATATAGAACATGAGAAAAATCACTCTGGGGCAAAAAAGGCAAATAATTCATATTGAAAAACTTCCCTCTACTTTTTTTGTTAACATTCCGTGGATAAGAATCAAGATCACTCTGTCCCGTCCGAGACCATCTCATTCACCCCACACTCTACACCTACACTGCCGCAGCCTCCTCCTCCTCCTCCCTCCTCTTTCTCCTCTTCTTCCTCCATCCTCCGTTCATCGGCATCAAGCACTCCAATATCGCCTGCCCCGAAATGCGACTGCTCCTCCTACTCCTTCTCCTTCTCCATTTCAACCACTCCCGTTCTTCACGCTTCTCTGAGTACCGTGCCCTCCTCTCCTTCAAGGCTTCCATTTCCGACGACCCTCAATCTGCTCTTTCTTCATGGAATTCCTTTTCTGAGTACTGCAAATGGTCCGGCGTCATCTGCGACTCCCGCCGCCACGTTACTTCCCTCGACCTCACCGGTCGCAACCTCTCTGGCACACTGTCCAACGACCTTGCTCATCTTCCTTTCCTCTCTAATCTCTCCCTAGCTGGTAATCAGTTCGCTGGACCCCTCCCTCCGGGGATCTCTGCCATTGCTGGCCTTCGCTTCCTCAACCTTTCAAACAATGTCTTTAATGGCACTTTCCCTCCCGAATTTTCCCAGCTTAAGAATATTCAGGTTCTCGACCTCTATAACAATAACATGAGTGGATCGCTTCCGCGTGTGGTGACCCAGATGCCAAATCTTCGGCATTTGCATCTTGGCGGGAACTTCTTTTCGGGTCAGATCCCGCCGGAGTACGGACATTGGGATCATTTGGAATACTTGGCTGTTTCCGGTAACGGGCTGAATGGCACTATACCGCCGGAGATCGGAAACTTGACCAGCCTGCGGGAACTCTATATTGGATACTTCAACACTTACACGCGCGGCATACCGCCTGAGATTGGAAACTTGTCGCAACTCGTCAGATTTGACGCGGCGAACTGCGGATTGACTGGCGAGATACCACCGGAACTGGGGAAACTTCAGAACCTCGATACTCTGTTTCTTCAAGTGAATGGACTTTCAGGTTCTCTGACGCCAGAGCTTGGGAACTTGAAGTGCTTAAAATCCATGGACTTGTCCAATAATATGCTTACGGGTGAGATTCCGGAGAGTTTTGCTGAGCTCAAGAACCTAACGCTTTTAAACCTTTTCAGAAATAAGCTTCATGGAGCCATTCCTGAGTTCATTGGGGATTTGCCGGCGCTGGAAGTGCTTCAGCTCTGGGAGAATAACTTCACTGGCAGCATTCCTCAGGGTCTGGGGAAGAAGGGGACGCTTGTATTTGTGGATCTTTCGTCAAACAAATTGACTGGGACTTTGCCTCCTGATATGTGCTCTGGCAATCGTCTTCAGACTTTGATTATCCTAGAAAACTTTCTGTTTGGTCCTATCCCTGAATCGCTCGGGAAGTGTGAGTCATTGACTAGGATTCGTATGGGAGAAAACTTTCTAAACGGGTCAATACCGAAAGGCCTTTTTGGGCTTCCCAAACTCACTCAGGTTGAGCTACAGGACAATCTTCTCTCGGGACAGTTTCCTCATGCTAATTCTGTTTCTGTTGGTCTTGGTCAGATCATTCTATCCAACAACCAGCTTTCAGGGCAGTTGCCCCCCACGATTGGTAACTTTTCAGGCATGCAGAAGCTCCTTCTTGATGGCAACGAATTCTCAGGGCAGATCCCTCCCGAGATTGGGAGGTTGCAGCAGCTCTCTAAGATAGATTTTAGTCATAACAAATTCTCTGGTCCTATTGCGCCAGAAATAAGTCACTGCAAGCTGTTGACATTCGTTGATCTTAGCCGTAATGAACTTTACGGTGAGATTCCAACTGAGATAACTGGTATGCGAATATTGAATTACTTGAATCTTTCAAGAAATCATCTAGTTGGTGGCATTCCTGCATCAGTAGCCTCCATGCAAAGCTTGACGTCTGTTGATTTTTCATATAACAATCTCTCTGGCTTGGTTCCTGGTACCGGCCAATTTAGCTATTTCAACTACACATCATTCCTGGGAAACTCTGACCTTTGTGGTCCGTATCTGGGTCCTTGCAAGGAGGGGGTTGCAAATGGCGCTCACCAGTCTCACGTTAAAGGCCCGCTATCTGCTTCCATGAAGCTCTTACTGGTGATTGGATTACTTGTCTGTTCTATTGCATTTGCAGTTGCGGCAATAATAAAGGCCCGGTCACTGAAGAAGGCCAGCGAAGCTCGTGCATTTAAATTGACTACATTCCAACGCTTGGACTTCTCTGTTGATGACGTTCTGGATTGCCTGAAGGAGGACAACATCATAGGAAAAGGAGGGGCAGGCATTGTCTACAAAGGGACAATGCCCAATGGAGACCAGGTTGCTGTGAAAAGACTACCAGCTATGAGTAGAAGTTCTTCTCATGATCACGGGTTCAATGCAGAGATCCAGACATTAGGGAGAATCCGGCATAGACACATTGTAAGATTATTGGGTTTCTGTTCAAACAACGAAACAAATCTTTTGGTCTACGAATTCATGCCGAACGGAAGTTTAGGTGAAGTTCTTCATGGTAAGAAAGGAGGTCATTTGATCTGGGACACTAGGTATAAGATTGCTGTGGAGGCTGCGAAGGGACTTTGCTATCTACATCATGACTGTTCGCCACTTATAGTCCATAGAGATGTAAAATCGAACAACATCCTTCTTGACTCCAATTTTGAAGCACATGTTGCTGATTTCGGGCTTGCCAAGTTTCTTCAAGATTCAGGAACTTCCGAATGCATGTCGGCTATTGCTGGGTCATATGGATACATAGCTCCAGGTACTGTTCAAGCTTAGGATAATTAATGAATTATTTGTTCACTTTTGTTCAAATTTCCTTCGATTCGTTGCATCCATAATTCTTGATATTCAGTATGAATCTTTGACTGACCGTCATAAGAAGTTGCTCCCTTGATCAAGAGGGCTATGTTGTCTGTCATGAGGTTTTATGATACGACATCTTGATTCATGATTAGTCCACTAAATTTGGCTGCATCCAGTTTCAGCTTTGAAAGTGAATATTAGGTAGCGTTGCAGGTAGAGGGCTTATGATGCTTGACCGTAGCCTTCCAATAGTCGAATAAATCATGGAGTCATTGGGATGTTCACGACCGAAAACAGTGATAATGATTAGAAAAATGTCAAATTAAACGGCAGATCTCCTCACTTTTTTTCCCCGTATTTTACTAATTGATTTTAACGTCGATGGTTTATCTGGTTTGTGATTGAAGTTTAATGGTTGATTGCAGAGTATGCCTACACATTGAAAGTTGATGAGAAGAGCGATGTGTACAGCTTTGGAGTAGTTCTTTTAGAGCTCATAACTGGCAGGAAACCAGTGGGAGAATTTGGTGATGGGGTGGACATTGTGCAATGGGTCAGGAAAATGACGGACGGGAAGAAGGAAGAAGTCGTGAAAGTTCTTGATCCTAGACTTTCATCTGTACCCCTTCAAGAGGTCGTGCATTTTTTTTACGTAGCCATGCTCTGTGTCGAAGAACAGGCAGTGGAGCGACCAACTATGCGCGAAGTTGTTCAAATTCTAACAGAACTCCCAAAGCCCCCAGGCTCTAAACAGGGAGACGTTACAATCACAGAATCTTCTACGTCATCGGCGAACACTTCAGAGGCTTCAACCATGCTGTCTAAAGAATTAAAGGACGAAACTCCTCAATCACCACATGCTGACCTTCTCGGCATTTGAAGTGGGATTCTCGTCGAGTTTCCTTGGCCTTATCATTTGATGTGTTCGCTTCCGTTTTTAATTCGTGGGGTGGGTCTTTTTTTTTTTTTTTCCTCTTCAACTATTTTAGGTTGTTCAACGCAAGGAATTTTCTTGATTTCTCCTGTTTTGTACAGTAGGATGGGCGGGGTATTTTCTATAGTCATTGTCTTCATCATTCGTGTACTGGTTTTATAACACAGCTGTTACATTTCTGAGTCCTGCCCTGTGGAACAGTGTGAAGGGGAAGGTCTGTCACAAGAAAGGTTATATCAATGCAGAGAGTGACGGGAGAGAACGCAATGACAGTACGACACGGATAGGTGGGCAATGAAAAATATGTCTTTCATGGTAGTGACATTACGTCCGATCCGAGTGGATAGGCTCGTAATGAACATTAACTTCTCCAATGGCTTGACAAGAACAGCAACTAAGAAACCGCCTTGAATCTTTAAATTTTACTTGAAAATTTAGTTTAGGTGACCTGCATTAGGAAATGAACTTATAAATGGCTATAATCTACTATGTACTCGCATTTACAGCAATAGTCTGCAACGATTTTCTGCTTCAGTCCGTTTGTGTCTGTGGACCATTGTGGTTTGAAGTTTGGTTGCAGGGTTCTGGCTGGCATTCGGATGAGGGAAAGATTGTATAAATAAGTTGACCTATCAGAACAGAAAAGGCTAAAGACGTAAGCCATGCACGTGATTCCCACTCCATTACCGGCTACAAAATTTCTGGGTTGTTAAAGAGTTAGTGAGATTGCGTTCTGGTGTCGTTGAAATTCTGCGCAACTTGCCATGCAAGCCTGGCAGTCTAGCAGAGAGAGGTTACGTTGGTAATTGTATTATGATAGTGGTTCGGTGCATATTAACTACAAGACAATGACGTATGTGGATTAAAAATCAAGCAGCTTCGTGCCTTTTCTGATAACTCAAACTTTTTGATTGATACCAATATCTAATTAAAAAGCTGATTCTTTTAGACTCATCTTTCATTTGTACAGTTGTACTCCTTTAAGGGCGCTTTTAATTTTAAAGGGGTGAATCCAGAATAAGTCAAGCAGAGAGATTGATTTTGCATTGCTAAGAAAACGATGATGGGCCATTAGTCGGGGGGGAAAGGTTCACACGGTTGATCGGCTTCTTAAATTAGATCCAGTGGTGGACAACTTAGTTGAGTCCTGTCTCTTGTAGGGATTAGAAGGGAATCTCCTTTGCGTCTCTTCTACTTTTATTACTTTTTTTATTTGTTGAAAAATTCGATCACTTTATTAGTAGATTGTTGGGTAAAAGGTTTCTTTTCTTTTCTGTTCTCTTTTGAGATGTCATGCAAAAGTTCCTTAGATTTTCGTCTCCCTCGGACTCCCTTGAAGAAATATACTGTTGTTTAGATTGGAATTCAAACTTTCAAAAGTGATTACTATTTTTCAGTGGGTGGGACAGTAAAATCCTGGGTGCATCAACATCAGAATTAGTGAGGGAAGTTCTGAAATTTTTCAGATGTCCAAAGCATTATGTGCCCCATTAAACTATCACGCCGAGAATTCCGTAGTATGGATTTTCCAACTCCATCTTATTCATTAATTCGATGTCTGAACATGTGATTCACCATATGAAGAATCTTGAAATGATGGATTTAGATTCAATTAGAAACCTAAATTTATTCATTCAATGAATGTTTCTATTACACTTATTAAATTTTATTATCAATACTTAAAAAATATTAAAATACGTTTTCCTTCAAAGATTCAAAAGAAAAAAATTACTTCTAATCAAAAGCATATTTTTTTTTAAATTTGATATTAAGGACCTGTTTGTTTTATGTTTTTAAAAGTTTTTTTTTGTTTTTGAAAACAAAAAAAAATTAAAAGGTCATTTGGAGAACTGTTTGAGCTTTAATTATTTCTAAAATTGTTTTCATTTGAAAATAAAAATAGAAATGACTTTTAAGTTGCTTTTATTTTATTTTTTATTTTTAAAATACACTATATTTATTATTAAAAGGTATAACTTGCTTGATCAATTTCTATCATAAATTATGACCATTAATGTTTGCAACTATTACTATCAGCTTATTTTTTAAATTCAAAAGCTATTTTAAATTAATATAAACAAATGTATTTCAATTTGTTTTATTTAAAAAAATAATTCTAAAAATTGTGTTACAAAATATTTTTTTAAATAAAAACAAACTATTTTAAGTTTTTTCTAAATATTATATGATGAAATTTCTCACAATCATAAAAAAAAATTCACACACTACTTTTTTTATCAACCCTCATCGTATTGTGCTGAGACGTTGAGTGATGAGAGAAGGTTGTATGCCTGCTTTGCTTGTAATTACTTTTGTGATTATGGATCAGTTTTCATTCAAAGAAAAAAACAAATTAAAAATAATAAAACAAGAAAGTGAAAGGCGGTATGAAGTGACATGGTTTTGGAAAAATAAATAAATAAATAAACAAACAAAGAACTGAAGAAAAATGTAAGAAAAGAAGGACAGGCTGTTGAAAGGGTGGCCAAATTTTGTCTCATGCGCAGCAGGAGATACGGTGAGGGTCTGCTGTGTTTCCTTTTTTGAAATTGTGGTTCTGGTGATACTATGAGGTCTTCCTTTTACTATTTGCTTTTCCGAGGGATCACGTTCAGGATTGGGACCCGTCGAGCAGTGAAAAGACAGAGCACTATAGGATTGTTGAAAACGCCAGCCCCAGTACGATACGTCTTCCTGCTTTCCTGCTTGTGCTGCTATTGATTATTTTCTTTAAGCCAACGTTAAGCGCCTAATAAGATCATTGCGAACGTAGCAGCGTGGAATACAAATGAATGACAAGATGTGGAGATGTAGAAGGGAAGGATTGAATGATGAGTTGACGTGGCAGGGCACGTCGAGAAAAAAAAAACAAAGTTGAAACGGTTGTTTTGTGTTTGTATTGTTTGCGTCCTGACTTTTGACTTCATTTATGGCAGCAGATGCGGAATCATTATAACACGGCCCCTTGGCTTCTCTCTGCTCCCCACACCAGATTCCCTTGCCCCACTCTGCTTGCTGCTGACTTTTCGTCCGGCCCATTTCGCTTTACCACCTCTTTACATGCTTCGCTTTAATTTACACTCACCCTTTGCTAGATCCCAAAAAAAAAAAAAAACACACAGAAAGAGTCACTACAGTGGAGCGGCTTATTGGGCACTAGCATGAGTCTATCAACGCAATCCTCCACCCCCCCCCCCCCCGTTTTAATGAGCTGAGGAGGAGATTGTTTCTAACTTCCTATCATCCAGACCAAGTTTGTCCGTGACGGCATTGCCTTGTCTCTTATTGTGGCATCGCCACGTCCTTTATAAGATCAAATTCCCTTTACAATTGTTGATACAGCCACTTGTGTTTCTCCGGAAGCATCTTCTGCTGAAAGTCGCTGCACGTCGGACGATTGAGCATCAATTTGAGATCCAAGAGAAAACTTTTTCATTTCACGCATTCCTTACATTACTGCTTCTTGTTTTTTCCCTCAACTATTCATGACCTTTTGTCACGTGCACTTATAACAACTCGCATTAATTATTAACTCCAAGGTGCCTGCTAGTCTCCGAGTGACTCCTCCACGGTACAAATCAGTACACTTTTTTAATCCCTCCATTTTCATTTATACGTTACTTTTACCTAATTCGCACAGCGGGAAGAGTTAGTCCAAACAAGTTGATACTCTTAAAATTATCCCATTTTTAAGAGTTTTCCAAATTAAAATGCAATAAATTCCAGCTCAACCTTATTCCCCATTCCTTTTAATCAAATCACGTATATTAATAAGAATTTATTATTTAATTTAAGTAACATAAAATTATAATAATTTTCAGTTTTGCTTTCAATAATGTTACGATTAATATTATGGTGGTATTGTGTAATAAACACATTTAATATCTCCTCCATTTTTTAAAAAAATAACAAAATTATTTAATCATTTAAAAATATTATGACACTCCTTATATTTAAAAATAAAATAAACTTCTACGAAAATATAGATAGAGTGCTTATCTCAATGTCTATCTCCACCATAATTATACACCAATATTCATATTTAAAGCACTATTAAAAACATATCAATGTCTTCATAGATTTTAGAAATTAACTTTTGAATAAGAACATAAAAAATTCCTTGGAAAAAGGCGCGGAAATAGGAGCTAATGGAGTACTTTAGATTGTTCATAGTTTTTTTTTTTTTTTTTGGCTCTGGGCAAGCTTATGATTTCCACCCCAAGCAACCAATTATGGGCCCAGCCTTAGTAAACTTTATCTAAGGTGACAGCATCTTGTAGATCAGGATATTTTAAAATTTTTGGACAATTTTAACATCTAAACTGTTCGAAAATGTGGACCACATGGCTCGTCTTCTTCCGTTCTTTTTTCTTTTATTATGATTCTGTCTTATCTTTGACTTTGTAGACGTTATTTTATTGTTAATATATTTGCCCTTATACCTCAAAAAAAAAAAATTAAGGTGACTGGACAACATCTCTCAATAAACCCGGCAGAACGCTCTCAGAATGGGCTCCCTTGCCCAAGCCCATATACATGAAGCCCGTTACAGGTTGGGCCAGTGTGGACCAAACAGGTAACTTTTTACTTTTTAAACATTAAAAAAAAAAAACATTTTACTTTTTGTTATCGTTTGGCCACAGCATATACCTGTTCCTCTTGAATTTTAACCCAACTGTACTGAGTCACCTCATGCTCTATACAGTTGCACTTTAGAAAGATACGAATATAAGAACCAAACCAGAATTATTATTCCTTGACATCTTTGTTTGTTTTGAAAATTAAGCATATGAGGTAATCAGTAAAACTAGGCGACATTCTGTAACTATAATTGAGTAATTTAAAACAGCTCCAGTCAATTGAATATAGCTTTGATAAGAAAAAGAGTAAGACACGATTTTACGGAATAAAAAACGGATTCATCAGCTCATCATTTCCTGATAAACAATATTCCCTTCTCAATGCTCGCCCCCAACTCTTTCTTCGCCTTTTCCAGACCCTCCCTGTTAACAAGCAGCGCAGATAAATCTTAATATTCAACCTAAATAAATGATTACGTGATTATTATTATTATTAGCAAATAAGACAAACAGTTAACAGTTAACCCCAACATACCTTTCATACTCGTTCAAGGGACCCAGGGATAAGATTTCCTCGATTCCTCCACGGCCCAGTCTCACTCTTGATGCGAAGAATGGGAGTTCAGTTACCTATAACAGTCATTGTCAGTTCATACGAACAAAATGAATTAAAGCAGCATTTTATTAACAAAATAAAACACTCCAAATTGTGAAGGCCAGATTCAGAGACGAAAGAAACATAGCAACTGACGAACACACTCTTGGCAAAACAGTCGTTTACATACATATACCTGTGAATCAACAAATGCACATTGAATGATGCCAGCTTCTCCTCTCATGCCACGAAGACATGCGTCTGCGAATTTAGCAGCAGCATATGCCTGCATTTTATTGCATATTGAGTTACATTTACCTCAACTCAAAAATACTTAAGACGTCATCAATATTATGTAAAGTGGAAACTAACAATCTACAGTTCCCAAAGTTGTGAGCTCATTCAACTATATATCTAAAAATTTGTTATATTTTTGTTTGTTTAGATATGGGAAAATACTTTTGAGTTTCTCATACCTTTGAAAAATAATGAGATTTTGTTTGCTCAAATCAGGACCAGCCATGTAGATCTAAACGTTAAATTGAGATAATTCACTCCGAAATAGTAAAGCTAAATGAGTTTACTAAATCCGGGATAATTTGTTGACTTCCTCTCAACAAGGCAAGAAACTAAAGCAATATAATATTTTGATTCTAAAGAAACACGAACCATTGATAGCGTTGCAGAGCCAGCTCCAGCTTTAGCCTGAAGAAAAATAGATGCATAAGACAAACTTTCACTGTGTAGTGGGTACGATATAAACAGGACAATGATATATTGTTATATACTATCTATCTGGCACTAAGTTAATTACTTAATGCCAGAAGGCACCAAATGATAAAATATAGCGCAACAAATGAATGGCAAATGCCAACTCCATGTAGTTTACTAATCAGTTTCAATTCGACTACTATTTTATTTTAGAAAAGACAGCAGTATCATTATTATGGGTAAAACATGTAACTATTTATTAGGTCTGCTTAGCAGAGATGCATATTATGTCCTTTACTAACAATTTTTGAAATTTTATTTAAATTTTGAAATTTTATTTTCATCTTTTGAAGCTAACAAAAGAGTATATTATTTCAAACTGATTAGAGATAGTCAGGTGGAAAATTTGCCGCATAAATAAAGATTTCCTAGTAAAATATCAAGCTGACGCAGTATTGGTTGAGAGGCTAGGTAAAAATACCACGTAAACAAGGTCTGTGGGATGAGGTAATATGCTTCTATATCTGCTCTGAATTTTGAACCATATCATTCTCCATCCCCAATTCAAGAAGCCTCTAAACTTCTTCAGAGGCAGAGTTCTAAGCTACCCTTCTAACCTCGCCCTGCACAATCCCTCATCCACATATCATTTTACTTAACATAGGAAGACGCAAACCATCATGACATTCATGGTTGATCAGTAACAGAACGAGGACTTTGTGGGTAGCCAAGTTCAAAATATTAGCGATCCTGACTAAAGAGAAATTTCCAAGTTAGAATTATTTTTATTTTCACCTCCACAACTTCTGTTCCGCCGTTTTGTATACGATCAGTCAAGTAGTCAATTTCATTTTGGGTGAAAGAGCAAACGGGTTTCACCTGAAAGTCATGCAACCCTGTTAGGTAAGAACATAGTTCACAACAAAACAAAGGTTTTGAGTTAATAACAATTCAGAGATGAAAGTCCTAATGATAGTATACCTGAGAAAGAAGAGGTAAAATTGTGACCCCTGCATGTCCCCCAACAACTGGGACATCTACATCCCTCGGATCAAGACCCAAGACTTCAGCCTGCAGTTTACCCAGAGCCCCCCCGGGGGGGGGGGTGCAGATGGACGTGAAGTTTATAATTTAGATCAATGATCGCAAACCAAGCAACAAAACAATAACACAATGGCAGGCATAATAACCAGGAGGAAAGTTTTCTTTCATCTTTAGTTAAGAAATGACTTCATGCTCTAAATCATGAAAGAGCATATACTAATGCGAGATCATTAGCACATACTACAAATGTATTGGCTCTAACAACGTCAAGCATCGTCACGCCCATGAGTCTCTTGGGATCATAAATACCCGCTCTTTTGAAAACCTCGGCTGCAATTGGAACGGTGGAGTTAACAGGATTACTTATCAAGTTGACGATCGCCTTTGGACAAAACTTAGCAATTGCTTCACACAGAGTTTTAACAATTCCAGCATTTATATTGAAGAGATCATCTCTTGTCATCCCAGGTTTGCGAGGGACACCGGCCGGAATGATTACCAAGTCCATGCCTATAAGGGCATCCTCCAGCTGCTTCTGCCCCAAAAACCCTCGCACCTATATACAAAAGCTTCTAGTCAATTAAGTAGGTTATATGACAGGGATTGCACGTTAAAAATGAATAACACCTATCTTCTCCAATCCTTGGCTATCTGGGAATCTCATCAGAACAAGTCGAATGACATAGAATTACAGGTCTGCGATTAGCATGTGTAACTGGGTTTTGTTAATCATCCTAATCAAATTTGCCAGAACTAGTTTGGTCTTCCAGATTAGTTAAAACTAAGATCGACCTCGGATAGACAAATTGAAAATACCGTCGGACCAGAATGAACAGCTGGGGGGCGGGTACAATCCAAATGAAGGAAGAAATAACTTACCACGGCGCCAGTGTCCATGTGACTAATATCAGTAGTGACGCCGGGAGTATTGACGACATCATAGAGATGGAGAGCAGAAACCAATGGGTTCATCTTCATCAACAGGGCCAGAGGTTGACCAATGCCTCCTGCAGCTCCCAGAATTGCCACTTTGAACCCCGGTGCTCCACCTGTCGCTCGGCAATTCGCCCGACTCAAATTCGAAGAAGTGTCCCCCTCCATCTACATACACGAAGAATTCAAATCAACAACTGATCTGAAAGAGTAAAAAGTCTATAGCTAAAAAATTACAACTTTCCGGGATGCAAGAAAACTTGAAGGGGAAAAATTAATAACGGTTTTTGGGTTTTAATGAAAAAAGATAAAAGAGAACCTGGAGATCGGAAGGGAGAAAATGAGCGGAGATTATCGCGAGCCGCCGGTTGACATGTGAAGTTGGCTGCATACTCTCTTCAGAATTATGGAGAGTGATTAAATCACGAAACACTGGTGCTGCCTCTCCTTCGAAGCTTGCTTCGGTATTGGTCTCCTTTTAGAAGCTTGCCCAATCCGCCTTCCTTTTTTGTCTTTATTAAGAAAAAACATAGCAAGAAGATTAGACGCAGGCGTCATCTGCTGCGGGGATCGGGAAGCGTGGAAAATTGCTAGTTGATTTCATCTATAGCCCAAACCCTCCATGCGGCTGCTCTTACCACTTCCCTTCACGTGTCACCAAAGCCATTTCTTTCACAAAAGTTAGGCCACGCGACCTCGTACCGCATGCTACGTTATTTTTTTAAATTAAAATGAGGTTAAGTTAGAACTATGAAGACAAAACTCAGTGTTCTACAACACGGATCGAATTAGAAGGTTTAATTGTCGATCACTCAACAAAACAGCAAAATTTAATCATTTAGACCACTTAAACATTTGGAGTGGGTTGACTCGAGTGATTTTAAAAGAATCAGATTTAACATGAAAACCAGAATAATTCAACCAGAGCCCGAGTGAGTCAAAGCCTCGAAAGTAAAAACAAAATTCAGGCTCGCTCGTGTTCTTGATTTCTCTTTTCTAATTTTTAATTTTTTTTTATTTTTCTTCTTCAATCTTTGATCTCTCTTCTATGATTTAGACTCAATTTTTTGATCTCTTCTCCCACATTTATCTCCAACTCTAGCATTTTGCATTGAGATTATAAGTTTGTGCCAACATACCTTTACCTCTAGCTTTAATAGTCTAGACAACTAACCTTTAATTTTAAGATCTCAAGTATTATTGACAAATTAATGTTTTATTTATATATTTATATATATATAAATATTATTTTTTATTTAATTTTTATATCACTGGTTTAACATCCGGTCCAAGTTGCAAAATATTGATAAAACTAGGGCAAGAAATATAAATAGGGTTATGCAAGTTGGCCCAAATATCCTATTATAAGAGCTAGGTCATGTTGTGAAAAATATTAACTCATATAAAAATATATATTTTTAGCCGGAACCAAATACCCTATGATCCAAATGGATAAGGGTTAACTTATTTAACTCATATTATTTTATAAAAAATTAGAAGAAACTTGGAAAATAAAAAATGGAAGGAGTTTTAGTACCAATACCTCACAAGACAAGCAAATTTTTTTTAAAAAAATCATGATAAAATTTATCAATCTCATATATTTATAATGTAAATTTTTTTAATTGCGTAAAATATCATCATAGAACTTCTTATTTAAGTATAATTTTTTAAAAAAATTATGAAAAAATAATAAATGAATTGGTGAATTGATCCATTTTAACCCATTAACCCATGAGGGTTGAGTTGAGTTGAGATTTTTTTTTAACCCATATAAAGATAAATTAAACCAAATCCAACTTATATTTTTCCTCCATGTGGCCTAATTCTAGATAAAACCAATCAACTATGACCTTCTCGGCTCTGCCATACAAGGAGATTATGGGGCTGTTTGAAACTGTTTTTATTTTATTATTTTGAGAATTGGTGTTTTGTAGAATATGTTTTGAGAACAAAAAAATAATAAAAATAAGTGTTTTTTTCATTCTCACTTGTTCTTCAGAACAATAATAACAGAACACTTAAAAATTATTTTCATTTTTCTATTCTTTAAAATAATATTTTATTTTTTTATTTTCAAAACACTTTTTGAAAACACGTTATTAAATAAATCTTTTTATTTTCTTATTTTAGAGAACAAAAAACTGTTCTCAGAACCATTTTCTAAACAGCCCTTATTTCATCACTTCGTCACTTAGGCAACTCACCAAGGCTGAGTTCACGCATGCTGCACCAGTACACCCTACCCAGGGATTTAAGACATTGCAAGATATGTTTAGCTTTTAGTTTGGTAAAGATCATTTGCAAAAAAATTATTATTTATTATTTTATCGAAAACTCATTGGTCAGAATTTTATATATCATTATTGATATAAATTACACTGCTGGTTGGTTTTGATATGAATTTTATTATTTTATTTAAAAGGATTTCTCAGCCCACCCCTATAAGGAGAGTCAGGCAACAGGCCAGGACCTCTCAACGGACCAAGAAAACCCACAGTCCTAGTCTTGGCCACAAAAGGGGGATGCCAACTAAGTGTGAAGAAACAGCCCATGTGACAAAGTAACAGACGCCCATGTAATTCCTAAAGTGGCTGAATATGTTAATCCTGTGTTTATCACAAAACACATGGGAAGATAAATCCTACTATTAATGACTATTGTTCTTCCTTTTATGAGAAAAACTGAACCGTATTGTTTATTAAAATTTTTTTTCCGTACTTGACTTTTGTTCAACATTTAAGTAGTCCCTCGTCATATCAATAAAGCTTCAATCAAACCAATTAAAAAATAGTAAAATTAAACCATAACTCTAACTCCAATCGAAGGCCTTATTAGCTGATTAGTTAGCAACGAAGTTAATGCTACTGGTGCAAATAGTTGAAGTGCCGTTTGTTGAGTGGTATCTTGTTGATGGATTCAATAAGTAAACCGCAAAAGTCTTCTCCAGTGGCTTCACTAGACATTTGCTCTGACAACTTTCATATTTTCCTTCTAAAGTTTCTATTATTTCAAATATCAGACTTCTAGTTCTTTTCTGTTTGTATATCCATCTAAACACAATTATCCATCCTAAGGTGTTGGTGCCAAGTATCAACAATGAGCTTCTAACTTGCAATAAAAAAACAATGAAATTATGATGGTATGTTTTTCCATTAGTGTGCGATCATTTTTTGTCTAGCTAGTCATATCTGGCCTTAGGACCATGTTGAATATATTTTATGGAATTATAGTTGATTCTCTTTGTAGCTTACTAGATTGCATAAAGATATAGCTGGTAATTTAGGTTAGCCTAAACCCACTCACAAAAAGTTAAGATCTGGTTTGGCTATATAAGTTTTTTTAAGAAGATATGATATTTTAAGCCTAATTCGAGTAAACCTGACCCAAATCTAAATAAAGCCAATCGTTGGAATTTCCACCTTTATATATATAGTTGGTAATTTTTGCCAACCAAAACCCGACCGAAAAGTTAGGGTCGAGCTTGGCTATATAGGTTTTTTAAGAAGGTAAGATACTCTAAGTCCAATTTGAATCAACCTGGCCTGAATTGAGCCCGATCTGCTCAAATTATTAGCTCTATATAAAGGCTGAAAGATAGCATAATGGAGGCATTCTGCTATATATAAAGAGATTTTGCGCATAGAGTTGAAAATCTTGATATATTCAGGTCCAGTTGTGCACTCCCAACATTAGTCTAAACTAGACCAATCTTGCCAAATTATGCAAGAGGAATAGATGTTGTCTAGATTCCTCCTTAAGGCCACAAATTTGACATTCTACTTCCACCATAAAATGTTGTCTAAATCCAAGTTTGACTAAAAGGTATTGCATTATGCATTATATTCTAGATGAACAAATTTATTATTATGAGGTTGGCAACTTCTAAGTTCTATTCCATGAGCCATCCTTCAAACTATTCTAGTGAGTGGCGATAATCAAGTATAATGAATTAGTGACAATGGAGAATGAGGGCAGAAAGGTTTTTCACTAAAATGGAAATATAATAAAGGGGTGTGAAGGACCTAACATTTCTATTCCCTTATATAATAATAAAATAGAAACCCTAATACAAAGAACATGACATGTATGTACAAATAAGAATAAATAATGAAATTATAGCAATAGGCATTAAAGTATTTGCATAAAAGAATATTGGGCAGCACTTGTTGGGCTTATTAGGCAACATCTCAACATGCCGCCTCAAAAGAGATGCTAGGCTTTTCACCAGTTTGAGTTTATCTTTTAGTATCAGAAAATGTGAACAATAATGGCATTGTATATGCCATCCAAACTAGCCATTACTTACAGAAGGAGGTTAGTATGAGGTACTGGACTACCAACAAGAGAAAGAGACTCAGAGGGATTTCATTTTAGCTAGGTACTCAAACATGAAGGATGAACATTTTTGGTACATTGAAGCTCAACTTTCAACATCAGAACCCTAGCTTTGTTTTGAGCACCTGAAAGTGCTTGAGTAGCATGCCAAAGTCTAATAGAAGTAGACACACCAGTTATCTTATAGGAGACATCAAGAGACATAGTATTAAAGCCAGCCAAACAAGAGTTGATCAGTAGTCACCTAATCTTCAAAGTTAGGATTAGGTTTGGAGTCATTACTCTTCATAAAAAACTCAAAAGGACATATGTTAGGGCTATTGATAAATCCTCCCAACTTATGCCTTTTATAATGGGCAAAACATGGGTTGCCTTAATGGTGTAGTTGGTTCTATCAAGTTTGACATAACATAATTGCGTGAGAGCAGTGCTCCTTGTCTAGTTTTCAAGGAGGTTAATGGCAGGGACAAGAGAACTGTGAGATGCACAGGTGTTTGGAGATTTTAGGAGCCCTCATCAACTATGGCAGCTAACCTATTAAAGCTTTGATACTAAGAAAGGTTTTTCACGAAAATGGAAATATAATAAAAAGGCATACAAGACCTAAGGTTTTTCCTTCATTCCTACCTAAAGTTGCTTACACTAATCTATCCTCATATCACAAAGGGGCAATGACATTTTCTACATAATCAAGTGCCATATGTTTCTAAAAGAGCCTAAAAAGGCAGTCAATAGGATTGCATCTGAATGGAGCAACTTATATCTCTTTTTGATCTGTTATTCATGTTTGTGAATGCTTGGCTTACAGGGAAAGTGATTCCCTTGCCTTTGCGAGGGAAAAAAAGATAAAACTGGCAATTAAATTGAACGTTGATGTCACAGAATTTTAGACTAATCTGGTTCCTTATCCTAGGATTCACCTCATGTTTTCATCTTATGCTCCTGTGATTTCAGTAGAGAAACCATACCATGAATAGTTGTCAGTCACATAAATCACAAATAGCACATTTGAGCCATCATCTATGATAGCCAAGTGCGATCCATGCCATGGCAAATACATGGCTCACTATATGATGTACAGAGAAGATGTGGTCCCGAAAGATGTTAACATAGTTGTGGCAACTATCAAGACCAAGTGCACCATTTGATTTGTTGACTGGTGCTCTACTGGATTGAAGTGCGGTATCAATTACCATCCTCCAATTGTAGTCCTTGGGGGTGATCTTGCCGAGGTTTAAAGA